ATCTTTATAAACCGAAGGCCACTAGTTCTTTTATGTCTTTTATCAAGCAATGAATACACAAATTCTTTTTCCCCTGCATGTAAAATTATTTCATATTTTTCTACACCTGATTCATCCCTCAGTTTGGGAAAGTATGTTCAGTAGATGATGTATTTTTTATCCAATCACATTTTAGATACATTGACTTAAGTAATTACTTACTAATACAAAATAAACTTTTTTTCATCTTACCACTTTCACTAAAGGAGTGAACTAAAGCCAAATATATAATGTTTCAAATCAGCACAGAAGTAAAGCATTGTGCTTCAAGATGAATGTTTGGATTGCCAACACTATTTCGAGTTAAACTGACTGAAAGAAATAGTAGAAGTATCAAATCTTGAAAAAAGATTGTCAAGTCCATTCCATATTTAACAGCACGCCTTACATTCCTATAAGCATTTCTAGATTATGAAGGCAACATAACGAAATTCTTTAGATGACAGTAAGCTATTATTCTTAAATCTTTTTACAATATATGTACTAGAATATATCTCTAAGTTGACTGTTTGTCTCTTTTGTCTTTTCAATTAAATTCATCTATTTTAGCTAAATATGGGGGCTAATTGAATAAGTAAGGACCCCTTAACCACTTACTGGTCCCAAGAATATCTTACTGGTGTCATGTTACCACAGAGCTACAAATAAACCTGAAGAAAACTAGTATAGCTGTACTTGTTTGGATAAAAAATAAAAAATAATGAACTTGACTTATTTCGGTGAAAATTATAGGATGTACAGGCACATAAAATATGTCGCGTTACAAATTTTAGTTGTTACACATGTTTCTAACACTGCAAAAAGATAAAATCATATGAAACTTCAAATTAGAAAAAAATGATGCATTTGTTTTTATAACTAGATGGCTAGTTTTTATAATAAAACTTATATAAATATACTTTTTTTCTGAAGAAAATTCTTTAATTCGTCCAAATTCAAATGAAATTTCCTTTTTTTTAATTGTTGGCTTCCAGACAACAATCTGCCTACATGTTCTCCGTGTGCGGTTACCTCAGCGTGATCATTCTCGTAAACATTCGTTGATCGCAATAAGCAAGTGCGAAGGAGAAAACCAAATTGGCAGAAAGAGTCAACAAACGTTAACATCGCTCCGTCATCGAAATTAACTATATCTTATTGTACATGTTATACACTTGCTTACCTGGATAACCATGCTTCTTTGTAAATTGTTTACAAAGATGACTATCGGTACATTTCAGCTTCAAAACACGACAATTAATTACATGTAGCTACCATATTTTCACAACAAAACTGACGGAGTGAAAATTTTTTTCGACTATTATACGAAATGAATGCATAAAACATGATAAATTCGTGCACAGAAGACTAAGTTTATGATATATGCATGCATTGGTTCAATAATTGGATTAACATTTTTTTCACCAGTCACTCGTTTCATATGACTTTAAAGCGAGCATTCATGATAAGAAATATATTGCAAGTTACATAAGAATTATAAAGTTCTACTTTATAGGTAAATTTTAACATTATTACTCACATTTCAGGCAAAATTTGCTGAATTGGCATTTTCACTCCCAAAGGTGGAATTTAAGGGTTGTTTTTATTCTAGTTGCCCTTAATAAATTTTTGAATGATAAACCTAGAAATCGAACGTTTGGGAAAGTATGTTCAGTAGATACTGTATTTTTGTCTAATCATACTGTTCAGATACATTGACTTAAGAAGGATACACAAAAGAGCTACCTAAATTGCGGAATGTAAATACTACCGTGCCACCTTAAGCCTCTGTCAGGCGCACTACTAAACGGTGTAATTGGGATTTGCTATATACACGGGTCATTATCACACCTAAACTTCGGCTTTGTACAGGGATTGCTACTACTAAATTCAATCATTGACCCAAAAAATATCTACCAGTTAGTTGAAAGCAGAAACACAGTGCACCTCATAATCATTATGACTTCATCAAATGACAATACGAATACTAAAAATCCAGGCTGGGAATATGGCAAAGGAACTTTAATTCAGTCACAGACCCGCGATTTCGCGGGTGTGTTCTAGTCTTTATAAAGTTTTATCATACTCAACGTTGGATTGAACAAAACAATCCTAGTCTTTAAGGTGGCTAGGGCGTCTTAATTAAAATTGATAGAATTTTTTAATAATTTGTCAAAATGAAGTTTTTATCATGCTTTTTTCAAAAATATAATAAAAAGTATGGGTCACCGGACTTTTTTTCATGCTACAGGTAGTGCAAAATTGTCAGATTTTGTATAGATAATGCATGGAAGATCAAATTTTGTTTGATAAAAAGAAAACTACCTGATAGAATTTTAAGATATAATGTGAGAAGATAGCTCTTATAACATGCTTTCAGATAAGAAAAAGAAAAAATGGGGTCACCGAACTTGTTTTCTTGCTACAGATGAAAATAGGTGAATTCACAACACTTTCTATTATAAAAATGACTTTATCGGAGTTATCTCCCCTTATTTGGCAAAGTTGAAAAAAAATTAATCAAACACAAATAAGGTGTTTTTGAGAAATTACAGCAATAGTTATGATAAAACATCCAATTTTCTATAATGATATCAAAAGTCTTACACATAAATTGCATACTACTCTCAAAATTTGCACATTTAATCAAAGATCTAGACCAACGTTATCTGCTACTTCAGAATCTAAGATGGAGGAAGACACCCGAGCCACCTTAATTCTGTATAGTGCAACATTATTTTGTCCGTGTTTGTATTCTAAATAGCATTAATCTTTATATATAAAAAAGGAGATGTGGTACAATTGCAAATAAGACAAATAACCACCAAAGTTCAAATGAAGTAGATGTAATTTATTGGCAACCGTACAACCTTCAACAATGAGAAAAACCCGTACCGTATAGTCGACTATCAAAAAGGCCCCGACATAGAAAATATTAAACAATACAATTAAGGAAGCTAACGGCCTAATTAATAACAAAACAATTGACGAAATACAACAGAGACAGACATATCTTTATTAATAACAAAACAATTGACGAAATACAAATGAGACAGACATATCTTTATTGATAACAAAACAATTGACGAAATACAAATGAGACAGACATATCTTTATTAATACCTCAGTTGCTTTGTCATTGATGGCATAGTAAAAGTTTGAATACCTCTTACCGAGAATTGACTGACATTGGTATTACCTTGACAATCCTATGTCATTCAAATACGACAATCATTTTATGATATCGCTCAGTTTTCGGAAAATTTACAGGACGTAAATACAAAGTTATTACTTTCAGTTCTAGTTCCGTGAATTATATCAAAGTTTCAAAAGACCTAAATATAGTTTAGTAACCAGATAACAACAACAAATACTTTAAATGCCCTATTGAAAAATTTCTAAACACTATGGTTTTGACATTTTGACATTTTTCAATCAATGTTCTTATTAAACAATCTTCAAATCTTTATTCAGAATTACAACTAAAGTACGTTATGCTCAGGTAAGCAAGACTTCGGTCCGTTGATAATTTTCTGTTTGTGTGTATATGTAGTTTGATCCGTTAATGCAGTTATGAGAAATTAAAAGTTTTAAATAATGTGAAGGACTGTGTTAGTAGCTATATAGACTTCGAATGCTTGGTGAATAATTACGATTTGCAAAACGCCTTATGAATAAATCAAGATTTTTAATTTATAAAAGTTTTATGAATAAATCAATTTTTTTAATTTATAAAAGTCTTATGAATAAATCAAAATTTTGAATTTATCAAAGTCTTATAAATAAATAAATATTTTCGATCTATAAAAGTCGATTTAGATTTCCACATTTTTTTGGCAGAATTACTTTCTATTAAAACTGTTTGCCATTGAGATTAACGAACCCTTCGATCAATAAACCAAAAATCATGTGTATGTATACATGTACCATATAGTTAAACACAAATCGAAGAATGAATTGTGATATCTTTAAAGAATATTAACAACTGTATATTTTACGCAGTAGATTATTGAACTTAATTAACATACTCTATAACAAATAAATTAATTACCGATTAACATACTATATAACAATATATTAATTAACATACTATATAACAATATATTAATTAACATACTATATAACAATATATTAATTAACATACTCCATAACAATATATTAAAAAATCAGTCCATGGCGCGCGGAAGTAGAGCAGAAGACAGTATTGTTTTTTCAGGGGTTGACATGATAAACGTGATCGTTATTAGTTTCAACTGCAAGGTTCTTATGCAAGCAAATTTAATAAAGAATGATATTATACACGTGTTTATGGGTTTTTACTTAACAAAGCGCTTTATTTCTGATCTTTTTTCTGTGTGCACAATTCTGATTCTACGTTTTTCACCTTAGAAAATCTGTTTGGACGATTCCATATACCATTATGTTATAGGGGTTTATAGATTCAGTGTCGAGTTAATGTGTAATATTTAGCGTTGTATGTGAGAAATAAATAATTTTTCTGATAAAGTAACTAAATTCAAAACCAATATAAGTATAGTTAACATATATATTATATTCAACCGTGTAAATTGACCGGAATGTAAATGACAACACAGACCTTAAATTCTGTTTGGTCTATGGTTGTTTTTCAACCAGTTTACTATGATTTGGTGGAAGTATGTTCTTATTTCAAACAGAGGGGCACTCAGCCTATATCAATATGTGGTTGAAGCGATTGTTACTTACTAGGTGCGAATGATTTTACTACAATTTGTAAAAATTTTAACAGGTGTTTATACTGAAAATATGCAAATAAAATCATGTCTTTTTCAGGACTTCTGATCCATGTAGTATGGCATGTTTGTGAGATGTGGTTATTTTAGATGGATGTTCATGAAAGACCTGTAGTACAATGTATATCACTGGATTGAGCTCTTTGTCTAAGTGTATGATTAAAGTGCTTTGCTTAAAGCTCAGTTCATTGTTATGCAATTCATTCTTTGTGAAATAAAGATTCGACAGACAACTCTCATCTGCACATAGAATTATAGTAGTATCCATTCTATGTAAGTAGTAATGGGGAAATAAAAGCATTTTATTTACATTTGATCCAAATATTTTATGTCCAGAAGCAAAATTAAAAAAAAATCACAAATTTACCAAACAATGCTGTACTCGTGCTACTAGCAATATGATGCTAGGTAGTTTTGTTGCACTTTTTTTAAACATCTGGACTGCTTACTGACGACTCAGTCCTGAGTGAAAATGGCCATTCACTATTTAAAAGAAAAGGACAAAATTAACAAGGCCTATCTGGCCTAATTGATTTTTGTTTATAATATTTAATTGTTCAACATTTATCATGTTTATCATTCATTCGTTAAATTCTTAATAATTTGTGTGAATTAACAGTAAATTGTAATTATCGCTAATTTACGAAATTTTCCTTTGTTCTTACTGACTGATAATTTCCTTTCTCAGCACAGTAGAGTGATATGAAAATGTATCGCTTGAAACTATGGGAGCATGTGCCGTTGTCAATAAAATTAACAACGTCTTCATATGTTAAATAGCGACAAACAGATTCTCATTGGTCATCTCAACTCGATTACTTTTCTCACTTTAGCCGTTCCGGCTCAGGCGAGAAAATCAATCTCGTTGAGATGACCAACGATAATCTATAATTACAGCTCTTTCATTCCACAACAAAACTAGCTTACTGTACTGGTATCACTTATATTTGTATCCATATAAGAAAAAAAAAACTTGAAACAAGAATTGCTTTGCAATACTTTTTTTCATTTAGAATACTATAACTTTTTAGATAATTAGAACATATAAAGAAGATGTTCATATCCACTAGAAATTTTTTCATTTGACTTTTATAGCAGTTATGAGTCTTTGAAGCATGCTCACAAAGGTTCTTTTATTGATATTATTTTGATACTGGTCAAAACTTTTTTAAACTTAGACCAGGCTTTGGAGAAGACATTTTCGAAGAAAGAACTAAAACAAAAATAACACAGACGTTTACTTTCTAGCTCATCAAGCCCCAAGCATCATGTGAGGCATTGTCATTACTTAAAACCATTAAATATCTTCTGAGAAACAATTTCTACATTTAATCAAAATCTTGATAATGATACTGGGAAAATCTAAAAACTAATTTACAGTTCTTGTGGACAAACTCATGTAAAAAATGACCTACTATCCACACTAATCTGTGTCCACACTTGTTTATAACAACAAAATATCTGGTGATTATTACTAATTGTATTTTGCATCGAGGTGGTCGATTTGAATGTAGTCTTATCTACATTGTGGGCCGCTTTGAAATCGATTTATTGTTTTTGTCTTAAACTTAAGAGTTTATCTACAACGCTCAATGAATGAAGAAAATAAGAAGCTTATGAAACAATGCCGATTGTAATTTTTTCAAAAAATAAAAACAAAAAAGAATCAATGAAAAGTCAATGTGCACTAGAAAAACACCAGGTATTGTTGACATTGTGACATGATTTATTTTATCAGATAATTTAAATCTCGTTTAAGTACATTTGAATTTCATACAGCACGTTATCCACGGTTTATCAAGACTTCGGCCCGTTAAGTATCTTCTGTATGGGTATATACGCAATTTGACCCGTTGTTGGAGTAATGAGAATGATGGGGGAAAATGAAATTGACTTTGAAAGCATGAAACTTGGACAATAATAATCATTTGCAAAACGCCCAATTAATTAACTTGAATTTGTTATGTTTGTTAAAAAAGAAACATATTCACCATATATTTTTGTCTTCTACTATATCACTGTATGATATTGGGATCAACTAATCCAGAAATCGATATATCGAAAGAATCATTTCTTATTTCCCTTTTTTTCAAATGGAAACTCACTGCAGTTTGAACATTATAGATTCTATCTAATATAATTTGTCAATATGTGTTTCTTGTTTTTATAAAATCAAGTTGTTCAACTTTGCTCTTCCTGTTCAATTCATATTAATAGACAGAAGAAGATGTGGTATGAGTGCCAATGAGACAACTCTCCATCCAAGTCATAATTTGTAAAAGTAAACCATTATAGGTCAAAGTACGGTCTTCAACACGAAGCCTTGGCTCACACCGAATAGCAAGCTATAAAGGGCCCGAAAAAATGACTAGTGTAAAACCATTCAAACGGGAAAACCAACTGTCTAATCTATATAAAAAACGAGAAACGAGAAATATTTATGAACCACATCAACAAAAGACAACCACTGAACATCATTTTTCCCGACTTATGACAGGTGCAAATACATGCAGCGGGTTTAAACGTTTTTATAGGTACCAACCTTCACCCTTACCTGGAACAATAGTGTAACATCACAACATAGAAAAACACACTATAAAATATCAATTGAAATGGCTTAACTCAATCAAAAGACATATGAAAACAAACAAGTGAATATACACTGAACGAATAAATTTGATCTATGACACAATGTAAATACAAAATCAATGAACATTGTACAATGTACATGTTATACACTTGCTTACCTGGATAACCATGCTTCTTTGTAAATTGTTTACAAAGATGACTATCGGTACATTTCAGCTTCAAAACACGACAATTAATTACATGTAGCTACCATATTTTCACAACAAAACTGACGGAGTGAAAATTTTTTTCGACTATTATACGAAATGAATGCATAAAACATGATAAATTCGTGCACAGAAGACTAAGTTTATGATATATGCATGCATTGGTTCAATAATTGGATTAACATTTTTTTCACCAGTCACTCGTTTCATATGACTTTAAAGCGAGCATTCATGATAAGAAATATATTGCAAGTTACATAAGAATTATAAAGTTCTACTTTATAGGTAAATTTTAACATTATTACTCACATTTCAGGCAAAATTTGCTGAATTGGCATTTTCACTCCCAAAGGTGGAATTTAAGGGTTGTTTTTATTCTAGTTGCCCTTAATAAATTTTTGAATGATAAACCTAGAAATCGAACGTTTGGGAAAGTATGTTCAGTAGATACTGTATTTTTGTCTAATCATACTGTTCAGATACATTGACTTAAGAAGGATACACAAAAGAGCTACCTAAATTGCGGAATGTAAATACTACCGTGCCACCTTAAGCCTCTGTCAGGCGCACTACTAAACGGTGTAATTGGGATTTGCTATATACACGGGTCATTATCACACCTAAACTTCGGCTTTGTACAGGGATTGCTACTACTAAATTCAATCATTGACCCAAAAAATATCTACCAGTTAGTTGAAAGCAGAAACACAGTGCACCTCATAATCATTATGACTTCATCAAATGACAATACGAATACTAAAAATCCAGGCTGGGAATATGGCAAAGGAACTTTAATTCAGTCACAGACCCGCGATTTCGCGGGTGTGTTCTAGTCTTTATAAAGTTTTATCATACTCAACGTTGGATTGAACAAAACAATCCTAGTCTTTAAGGTGGCTAGGGCGTCTTAATTAAAATTGATAGAATTTTTTAATAATTTGTCAAAATGAAGTTTTTATCATGCTTTTTTCAAAAATATAATAAAAAGTATGGGTCACCGGACTTTTTTTCATGCTACAGGTAGTGCAAAATTGTCAGATTTTGTATAGATAATGCATGGAAGATCAAATTTTGTTTGATAAAAAAAAACTACCTGATAGAATTTTAAGATATAATGTGAGAAGATAGCTCTTATAACATGCTTTCAGATAAGAAAAAGAAAAAATGGGGTCACCGAACTTGTTTTCTTGCTACAGATGAAAATAGGTGAATTCACAACACTTTCTATTATAAAAATGACTTTATCGGAGTTATCTCCCCTTATTTGGCAAAGTTGAAAAAAAATTAATCAAACACAAATAAGGTGTTTTTGAGAAATTACAGCAATAGTTATGATAAAACATCCAATTTTCTATAATGATATCAAAAGTCTTACACATAAATTGCATACTACTCTCAAAATTTGCACATTTAATCAAAGATCTAGACCAACGTTATCTGCTACTTCAGAATCTAAGATGGAGGAAGACACCCGAGCCACCTTAATTCTGTATAGTGCAACATTATTTTGTCCGTGTTTGTATTCTAAATAGCATTAATCTTTATATATAAAAAAGGAGATGTGGTACAATTGCAAATAAGACAAATAACCACCAAAGTTCAAATGAAGTAGATGTAATTTATTGGCAACCGTACAACCTTCAACAATGAGAAAAACCCGTACCGTATAGTCGACTATCAAAAAGGCCCCGACATAGAAAATATTAAACAATACAATTAAGGAAGCTAACGGCCTAATTAATAACAAAACAATTGACGAAATACAACAGAGACAGACATATCTTTATTAATAACAAAACAATTGACGAAATACAAATGAGACAGACATATCTTTATTGATAACAAAACAATTGACGAAATACAAATGAGACAGACATATCTTTATTAATACCTCAGTTGCTTTGTCATTGATGGCATAGTAAAAGTTTGAATACCTCTTACCGAGAATTGACTGACATTGGTATTACCTTGACAATCCTATGTCATTCAAATACGACAATCATTTTATGATATCGCTCAGTTTTCGGAAAATTTACAGGACGTAAATACAAAGTTATTACTTTCAGTTCTAGTTCCGTGAATTATATCAAAGTTTCAAAAGACCTAAATATAGTTTAGTAACCAGATAACAACAACAAATACTTTAAATGCCCTATTGAAAAATTTCTAAACACTATGGTTTTGACATTTTGACATTTTTCAATCAATGTTCTTATTAAACAATCTTCAAATCTTTATTCAGAATTACAACTAAAGTACGTTATGCTCAGGTAAGCAAGACTTCGGTCCGTTGATAATTTTCTGTTTGTGTGTATATGTAGTTTGATCCGTTAATGCAGTTATGAGAAATTAAAAGTTTTAAATAATGTGAAGGACTGTGTTAGTAGCTATATAGACTTCGAATGCTTGGTGAATAATTACGATTTGCAAAACGCCTTATGAATAAATCAAGATTTTTAATTTATAAAAGTTTTATGA